AGGAGTCTCCTTTGTGTCGCCGCCTCCTTTACGGACGTTACAGTTACCCCCATGTACTCGGTTGGTGGAATCCATGTTGTCCGTCCCAACCCGAAGTCGTTGTGAGAGCAAACGGGCCCTGTTTGGAACTCACGTACTACTTCCTACATGTCTCTGCGCGACACTTACAGTGACCTGGAGCGAACCGTCTACGTCTTCGGTCATTGTATGTGACAAGGAAGTCACTGTCCACAAAGTACAGTCCAAGAAGGTCCCCAAGTTTACCTTCCATCTCACTCGGGTAGATTTTGGTGACGGTTCAGGTATTGCTCCATGGTCACTGGACCTTCTCCCTACCTCCGAACGCTCCCGGGGGAAAGTATTTTGCCGTCCGTGGTCCTTTTCCTACAACCCGATCGGCAGAAAGGAGTTTCGGGTGGTACCCGTACGCTCGTTATGCGTCGGTCCATGTGAAACTAGCATCTTTGAGACACAAATAGTTAGTGTCCAGGAAATCTTTACTTATCTTAGTGGGGCTGTCTGTAACTTTTCTCTACACAGGGAAATCGTGGTCAAATTTGCTGTGCCTAGTCCGTGCTTTACGCACCTATATGGACAGGTCAAAAGAGTTTAGATGCAATGACCAACTCTTTGTATCCTGGGCTAACCCTCATAAGGGCAAGCCCGTTACCAGGCAACGGCTCTCCCACTGGATTATGGAAGCGATTGCTCTGGCTTATACGAGTCAGGGTTTGCAGGCACCAACGGGCCTGCGTGCTCATTCTACTCGTGGACTGGCTACATCCTGGGCTTTGTTCAAGGGTGTTTCCATCCAAGACATTTGTGCAGCAGCGAGCTGGTCCTCACCGCTCACTTTTGTCCGCTTTTAAAGGCTAGATGTCTCTGCTCCAAGTGTGGCCCGCGCAGTGCTGGGCCCCGTGTTGAGACAGGGTTCTACCTGTTAAGTTCTGGTTGTTTTGGTGATTTTCGAGATAAGCATGTCTAGCAATACGGGAGTTTCAATATCCCATAGTGAGACATCGAACGGAGTGTTTTGAATGAGAACTATAGGTTACTTACGTAACCCCAGTTCTCAGAGTAACATGAAGTGAGATGTCTCACCGGACGGCCTTTCTTGCTAAGGCGAAGCGAGAAGAGGTGCTTATTTTCAATGACACTGCGACGTAGCGCAAGCTACTTAAAGGGTGGGTGGATTCCCTGACGTAGACGTCAAGATCACCAGCCAATCAGGATTGGCATAATGAGATCGATGCTTCTGTTTGCATACGCATTGAGGCGCATCCCATAGTGAGACATCTCACTTCATGTTACTCTGAGAACTGGGGTTAAGTAAGTAACCTATAGTTTCCATGCCTCCTGTGTTTTACGAGCGACTTATCAAGTCTTGGCAAACGGCATAAAACACGATTAAACGTGATAGTATATAAAACCATGCTCGTATCGACAACCTATAGAAATGCGAAACGGCGTCAGTTTAGACGTAATTCTGTCCTCCTGCTTACCGCATCATTTATGAGAAGACATTGCATAACATTAACACAACATATTCGAGGTGGTCTTAAATAACATATCCGTATTTATTTATTTCTCCAAGTTATGTTTTTGTGTGCACTGAGGAGCCTCAAACAGGCGTTTGTTAAATCATTTTAAGATTGGCTTTAATCAATTTGTGAAAATGAATTCTTAATATATGATAAATGAGAGGTAACATTTTATTTATGGTATTATTTCCACATATTTCTCTCCATTCTTCCTTCTGCCAACGGTGTCACAGTTTCTCGTCTCTCCCGTTGTTGTGCTTAGTGCGTACGCTTGGGTTAGAGTTTGCGGTGAGGACCGCACATTTTCCCGTCAATTTCGTATTTTATAAATCGCAAACATTGCGTAGAAACTGGCGTACGCCATTTTTTGAGCGTATATCCCTTTATAAATCAGGCCCCAGAACACATGAATTGTTTGTATGTCATTGTTACCATTGTTCTTAGGTTTACCTGCTGCTGTTTTTGCCTTTTGATATTTTGTCTTTGGCAGTTTGCTTGTTTGGCATGTCTTATAATATAGTTTTAAGTTTTTGCCTAATTTGGTTTTGCGTAGTTCTTTGCCTTTAGCCTTTAGCTTTAGTTGTTAGTAGTTTAGCAGTCTTTCTTTGGATTTTGCCCGATTTGATATCATGTTTAAACCAACTGGGATCTTTTTGTTTAACCTTGTTTCAGTTGTTTTTTTATTTTAGTGGAGTTGAGTGCCGGTCATTGGGGGGGTCAGTCACCCTCACTGTTTGCTGTGGTGAAGAGCAATGGGGAGCACGAGTGAGTTACCTGTTATTTTGAAACGTGTCTCTGACCCACAGTTAATGAACCTGTGTCCTGATTACTTGTGACATTAAATGTTTTGGTAAAAGGTAAAGCATTGCCTTTTGTGTGTATTTCCTGAGGTGCAAGCCCCCAGGGGGCGTTGTCGGTCCTTTAAGATTAATATTAAAATGTATTGTCATTGCACAGAGTACAAGTACTAAGACAACGACATTTAGTTTACATCAAACCAGAAGTGCAAAACAATAGTGATCGTATAAATATATACATCCGACAGTATTTACATTATGTACAGTATAAGGCAGTATAAACATTACAAACAGCAGTTTAGAAAAGTAATGCCCTTGGTATAAATAAGACACAATACAGAATAGATACACAAATATTATGGACTGTTTTTGTCAGGTTTAAATACCAAGAATACATCTGAGTGTGCCATAGATGATATAGATGTTCGGACATTTTATAAATACAGATACGTTGGTTGACGTAAGTGAAAAAGTCATTGTCAAAAGGGTCATTGTTCTGAGTTCAACCATGGTCTTCCTGAGGTCTTCCTGAGCTCTTCCCCTTTTAAAACATCACATTTTATATAAATATTATTTAACAAACCACCCTATCACACATACAGTGCACATTTCCTGGTAAAAAGGAGTTGTGTGGGGGGAAGGACTTTAATGTGAGGAAAAGAGGGAATCTGCACTTTCCTTGGGGAGTGATCACAGCCACCACACTGAGATAAGCCTCGGAGAGGTCAATAAGGAAAACCATTAGCTGACAAATGACCTCCTCTGTAATGTCATTCTAGTCCAGGACTATACTGTAGGAATCTGAGGGTGCAAATTAACACATGAGAAGGAACAACAAGAGCCTGGACATAAAGACTAATGCATCCCAGAGATAATCCCTTACTACTTCTGAATAACATTTAAGTTGACACACTCAGATGTAAGTTGGACATTTCTGCGATTATTAGTGCTTTAATTTATGCTTCTAATCTTTAATCCTCCATACTGTTGGGGTTCAGAGCTCAGGCACTTCACTTATATCTCACACCGGTTTCACTTCAAATAAATATGCATATTTCTTCTTAAACTGCAAATATGCTTAAAAAATAGACGAAAGACTAATTTTCGTTAGATGTATAGTATGCCTTTTTTTCTAGTGTTCGGCATCACAGACATGCCGGTTATTTAATAGTTACATTTTTGTTTTTTATATCTGTTACTTATTTAGCTTCTCTTTCAAAGTCAGCACCCAGAGTTGGTGAATGTTGGCATATTGGATTTGGTTATAGTTAGTTTCTGTTGGGTTAAAACAAATGTTTTCAGGTTTAAAATATTGTTTCTGTAACGGTAATCTGTTAGCCTTGAGGAGAGCACATTATTGTATGTTATAGCATATATGTATGTATGTAGCACCTTGAAGACTGCAGAGTTATTTTTCCTGTGAATAAATGATGATTGTAACAAATTACACCAAAAAAAAGCAGTATGTTAGTGGGTGTATGTTTTTTTTTTGTCCGGTAAAAAGGGCGCTGGACAGGAAGAGGGTTATTTGGATAAGAAGAGTACAACGCATAATTATTTTCTCCTAAAACTTTGTGTCTTTTGATATCTGGCTGAGATGCATAGAATACTAAAAACTAACATTTGCCAGGACTTGGCCCGGTGAGATCTTCACATTATTCAGGGCAGCTCCGTGGCCTTGTTTACACATACACATTCTTGCCCTTCAGTGATAGCCCTGATGTGGGATTAATGTTGTAATTTGCGCCCATTGTTCACACTCCCCCGCCTCTCCTTCTCCCTCCATATGTCCCGTCCTCCTTGTGTTGCTGTTTCCTCTGTAGCCTCTAGCCTCTCACCATCCTCACATCCTCCCAGCCTGCTTCCTCTCCTCCCTCCACTGACTTTTAAATGAGCAGAGCACCCAATGGATACATCACTAACTCCATTAAACAGACACTGTTAGCCTTAAGTTGCAGCCTTGTGTGTGACTATTTGTGAATATGGGTGTATGTATGTGCATATAGTGAGAAAAAGGAGGAGAAAGGGCAAAGCACGGAGGTAAGGAGTGTGCAATGGTGTGTGTGGATTAACTGCATGTGTGGGCGGGCAGCAGTCACATATAGCACTGAGGTCAAATCTGCAAAGATTGAACATAAGCACCCACAGTCCCCTTTTCTATTGGCCTAAGG